AGCAGCTAGATTGCGCAGTTGATTGTGCTAATCATTACATTATGGCAGAATTTCTTTAATATACATGTTCATTTAATAAATATCCTTATTTTCCAGAAAATCTAGAAAAAAGCCCCACATGTTACATGGCAATAAACTACATTTATTTATTCGCTCAATCATTTTTGTTACGAATTTTTTTTGTTTCGTGAAGATAACATTAAATTCTGGCAACCAGAACACGGGTTCATAAATGAGATTTCGTTTTTTTTTAAAGAAAGCCTCAGGAGGAGTTGTCTTTATCGCGCAGAGAAAGCATCACCTCTGCAAACGGTTATATATCTTTTAAAATCTTTTCAGAGCAGTGCTCATTTCCAAGACAGCGTTGCCTGTCAATCAACACACTGAACTCGTTTCTGACAAGTAAAATACCGTGTTACTTCCATTGGCAAGCTAAATAAAATTTCGTTGGTTTTTAAACAAAGTGTGCTCTCTTTAAACGGTGTATTTCCGCCCCCCCCCCCCTTTGCCTATTATATTCCGGTTGTGTTTACAGCATCACGAGACAAATAATTCAGTTGAACCTTTGGCTTTCGCGACCAGTATTATTCATAATCAAGGCTTTGTATCCATCGCCCCGTGTCTTGAGAACAGCCGTGGAAGGTGACATTGTAGAACTACTTCCGAAATTACATCCGTAGTCTCCTGCGGCATTTCCATCTGTCTGTGCTATCTGTGCTAGAAGGTGGCCTATCCTGGCCAACTTGCCGCCATTCACTTGCCTCGTCTGGTATTCCTGTGCAATTTCCTACCCAATCTCTATCCAGGCTCAAACACACTTGGATTCCAAGATCTGACGAGCTCAGGCACGTTCAGGGGCAGGCATCATCTTCCAAATTGATTGATGTTTCGAAGAGGTTTTCCCCATAGGCACTGGCTGGGCTTTGTAGTAAAACTAATTGAATGAAAATCAGATATTCGTATGCAGTCAGTTGTGCGGGAAGCAGCGGAAATAATATAAATTAATTTCTCAGCTCGCAAAGCACGAGTTTTAAAATTCCTCTGCAAACTCAAAGGGTTTCTCGTTTCAATTGCTGTTAGCAATTTGGTGGGGTTCAATTAAACTAATGCAACAATAAACACAGGCGTGCGCTTTGTTATGAGAGCTCTCTTCCTGGCCGATGAGAAAATAATATAAAGAAATTCAGCATTTTAAGTCCAGAATAAATTGCACATGTGTTGCCACCGCTTACAGAAGACATTATCTTATGGAAATATTGCCTCAGAAGTTATGAATGAAGGATTAAGTTGCAAGTGATAAGACTCAAATTAGGAAACATTTTATGAATACTTCAGCTCATTACAATATTATTTTCTGTAACACTGAATGATTTGCAGTTCTCAGATTGCATTAAGCAGAATCATAAACAAATAATAGAGCACACGGAGTAGATATTTGCTAATCTTTAGCCCCACTCTCCAGCCTTCTTTGTTAATGTATTCAATCATTTCCTTTGGTTCACTACCAGTGGTTATTATTATGACTATGGCTATCATCTTGATAAAATATGTTATTCAATTACAGTAAGAGGAGTCTGCATACTCTTTGGTTCTCTCGGTAAAGTCACGTAGGTATATCCCTGCAGTCACCAATAGCTTCAAATCAGGAGCCTGCATGTCCCGATGTCATGATCTAAATTTGAAAATTTACTTGCAAATTACCTAATTGTGAAAACCACGTGGCAACATCACCCCCTACTCTAGACAAATTACAATCTGCAGTCCAGTGCTTCGTTCATGTTGTGACATACAGGGACAGCTGCCACTGGGTGCCCCCTTGTCCAGACTACAGCAGGGCATTGGAATTGTTGAGATGAGATTTAATGGCGCTATTAAAGGTATTAAAGCAATCTATAAAATGTAAATCGACATCCAAATCTTACCTTTACCTACAACCCACCCATCTAACCATTGCGCTGTATTCAAAAAGGCAGAAGGCAGCACCGCTCACTGCACGTATCACCACGCATACAATGACCACGGGCATTTAGAGCCGCTGAGCACTGCCGCACCACTGGCAATCAGCAAAGCAGAAGTTAGCACTTGCAGTGTGGGGAGGAGGGCGGCGAGAGGTGTGGGAAGGTGTGGGGGGAGATGGGGGATCGAGGGGAAGAAGATATCACATGAAACCCACCCGGGACTCTGGCTTGTCAGAGTGAGAACGTGGATAAGGTTCAGCCAAGCATGTCTGTGAATGTCATTCAGCTGTTTCACACACACCATTATTTCACACAAGCTCAAATCCTCACTGGCCGGCGAAAGATGCCTTGCACAAACATATGGTACCACTGTATAGGCAAGAGGATGCGTGTATGTTTGTAAATGTTGCTCATAAAATTAGTGACGAAAATGTTGTGGACGAAGGGTTTATTTATTTTTTGTTCAACGATGACTATCGGTGGATGAAAGTCTTCCAGCGTGATGGCGGCTTGGACTACCCACCGAAGATCAAAGCATGCCAAGATTAAATTAACAGGTCTGAGTGAAGACGATGAATCAGACAGGTGCATTAGTAATGTTTAACATGTAGGCTTTTGCGACCAATATTATTCATAAGAAAGGTTTCTGGGTTAGATCGTGTAAGTATGTGTCGTAACCTTACACCAACGGATACAGCCAGTAAGGTTTGTCTCGTCAACAAAACGTGCCAATTAGTTACTACTTCAGCCCACCGGTGTGTTGGAGAGTAAATCCACAACATTTCCAATTTTAGTGGATGTTTCATTGGTAATTACATCTGGCATTATTGGAAGATATGCCCAACTAATTGGAACGTTTTTTTACGTGACAAACCTTACTGGCTTGTGTCGGGTGGTGGAGGGTTACGACACATTTGTGCTTACGCGATCGAATCCAAAAACCTTTATAATGCGTTAGTAATGTTCTCATATAACTCAGCGCACTGAGGGAGACCAAACATAGGAATTGACCGTTTAAGTATATGTAAAGATTTACCGCGTTCACTGTTCGGATCCATCACACCAACATTTAATCACGTAGTGTGGACTAAATGTTAAATTGCATTAGTCAGCTTGACTAAAAAAAAAAAATACTCCATGAAATCCACAGACTAAGATTAACATTCGACAGGCTGTCGTAGATGTAAAACTGAGTAAATAAAAAAATACTGATTCATTTCACATGGTTGTGTAGATCACAAAGGGTTTCTGTGAAATACCCACAATGTTATGAGATCCATGCCAGATAGTGTGCGTAGGGGCAGAAATACGATCTCTTTTCAAGCTTAAAGAGCTGGAAGTTTGGTCATTTTACACTTTTTTGGCAGGAACGCTACTTGACAAATGCGATGAACTCCATCCAGTTTCATTTAATCTTTTACATGATTATTTTTTGGTTCTGATGAATAATGCAACCTTGAGAATGTTGTTATCGGAAATTCTGAACAACTTGGCCCGCAAACTGGGCACACTCCTCTGAATTGTCGCACTGACTTTTGTCCTGTTCTGATTTAATATGAAAAGAGTTTCTCATCGATTGTGTCTCTGATACGCTGCATACATAATTCAACAAGTACAATACATCCCACCCCCTTCTTCTTCGTGTAAGTTTTGAATAAAACATCAGACAAATTGAAAGCAACAATATAACTCCTACACAAATAAGGCAAAAAATATAACTTTCTCCACGGTCAGAAAATTTACAACATTTACCCAATGCGATCAATGAAATATCATCTCATTGGCAAAATGTCCCAGTCAAACACTGTAATTGTTATTCATCAATTGCCCCTTTGACGGAACGTGATTACTTATATCCTCCCCCACATGCTAATTGGTTGCAGCAGATCAGATAACACACCTTAATTTACCAGCAATAATACGGCTGAATAGAACTTTCTAACATAGCAACTCTTTTTTGTTCTGCTTTTCTGTATGTCTGTCTAATTGCAGAAAGCTTTAAATAATGACGCTTGTGAATGCGATTCATGTTAACATAGTCACATCGTCGCTTCGTTGCATGGACCTCACACGTACGTACGCATGTATGTTGAACTTCTTTCTCTCTGTACGTGGCCAACCATGTTCATTGGAGGTGTGGGGGAAGGACAACGAACTAAACACAAAAATCAGTTCTAAATAAAAGAGTTTCTAATTTAGATTTAAAAGTGCAGAGCTCCAGTGGCTTCCTAATAACGGAAGAAAGAGCATTCCAGATGGCCACAGAAGCGCATCTGAAAGTGCCGACTGCAGTGGCCGTATTTGTTTGATTGTTCGCCAAAACATTGATTTTATCATCCAGACATCGGGGACATGGCCGAGTGGTTGCAGAGGTTTGTGATTTGAATGTATGTATGTTGAACGAAGCCAACCGTGCTAATCGGGGGTGCGGGAATTGTTTCAAGCGCAGCGACGGTGCATTACAACCGGGAATACTGAACCGGATACCAGTCTCCTGGCTCCCTGTTCTGGCGAACATTCTGCCACCAAATATCCGCAGATACATCGGGCAACCTGCGAGGATGTTTACACGTTTTCTTGCCAACGACAACCGCCTACTAGTCAACAAAGATCTGTAGGCAAAATGGAGGTCGTTAATTCTGTATGGTTTTAACGTGGAGACACGTTTACCAACAATGCTCCTCAACAATGCACGAGTTGGTATGCAACATTGCTTTTGTTTCCATTGAACGATGCTCAATTGTTTCGATGGAGTGCGCTTGTCACCAATATCTGGTGACCCAGCAGCATGTGTTTAATGATGACACCCAGAATGTTGAAACCAGTTCCAGAGTTTGCTTGCTCGCACACGTAGCTTGCTGGTTAACATGAGCCGAGAAAAATAAACTGATTAACGAATGTTTTTTTCTTTCTTCCATTTATATGTAGAGACACAGAATAATGGTTCTGTTTAGATATATATATATTTTTTGCCGAGCATGGGTGACCTGATCCTCACCCCGCCATGAGGGGTAACGCTGCAAGGGGAACGCCAGCGCTTACCTGATACGTCTCCGCATTGTGGTTGCGGCAAAACGGGTAGAAGGCCCCGACCTGCATCCAGCGGCGGCACAGCTCTTCCGAAGGCTCGTCAAAAAACCCACAGATGTCCGCTCCGATCTGCGTTGATGGCACAAGGGGCGTCGGAAGGTGGGTGGCGGGCGGGAAGGAGGGGGTTGTTGGAGTGGGGTGGGGTGCGAGTAGGAGGATGGATCGTTACTAAAATAACATCTTGACTTAAAAGCTTTCGTGACGTGTCGATCGCAACACAAGCGTTCGTCATCAGGACGTCATCAGGACGAACGCTTGTGTCGCGATCGAAGCGTCGTAGTTTTTGGTTATTTTTTGTTATTTTCTTTGAACCTATCTACGTGACTTTAGTGAAAGACCCAAAGGATATAAAATAACACCCCCTTGTCACCCGAGCGACTAGCGTGAGTGTTGGGCGGCACGGGGCTTAGGTCACTCTGCCAAGCAATGATGCGATGGGCCAGCGTGTCAGTGCGGATACATTTTTCGTGAAACGCTAAGATGGGGCAGCCCTGCGCATGCCACTGCTGGAGGGAAAGGCCTCCAACGGAAGGGCTTCTAACTTGTTTTTTTGGACTGCTCTTCAACACTGGCCACACATTTGGAAAGAGGTGGGAGCACCCACACGTGATCTGCTGATTCACTATGTGGTGGCGCACCCATCTATGCCGCTGGGTAGACAGATATGGGACGATTTAAGAAACTTCTTGTGTCAGCTGCTGCATTGGGAGATCGAACAGGTGACCTCTGGAATACAAATTCAGTTGACGAACCCTGACACCACTGCAGTCTCCTACGTTGACATGTCATGCAAATATTATGCAAATTATTTATTCAAACCGATGTGAGTAAAACACTAGGCAAACATCATATTTATTTATTCTTTTTTAATAAACATGATTCATTCCGTATCAATTATTTCTTTACTCATTAACATTTACTTAAATTTTGATTTAAAGCTTTCCTGACTGCAGTAATTCATATTCTTAGCTCTTTCGGTCAAGTCACGTTGAAGGGAAACAATAAAATAATACAATATATATAAAACAATATTTTGTAATTTTCTTTCAACCTATCTACGTGACTTTACCAAAATACCCAAATAATATGAATTCTTGCAGTCACGAAAGCTTGAAGTCAAGATTCGGTAGGAGCTGTTGATATTTGCATGGCTTTAGTATTGTTCGCGTTTTGGGGTTATCTTTGGTCTAACACTCTTGCAGATACAAAGCCATAAACGAGACTGTAGCTCTGGTGCAGGCCAATCAGTTCTAAGGACAATGCATCATCAAAGCATGTATGTTTGCAAGTCTTAGCACAAGCATGTGTGATTAATGCAGACTTGATGAGGCCTTGCGAAAGGTGTCGATTTGGTCTTTTAACGTCTTAACACTTGCTGTATCATTGCCGGGTAAAGCCTATTAATTCATGAATGAAATGCACTGGCTGAGTAACGTGAAACTTACCGGACACGTCAAGGTAATGTTCAAAATATGCGATTTCTGCGTTGCCTCTGTTGCAAAAGAGCTAAGAACATTTACTTATTTAATGACCTATCTACACGCCACTTATTTATTTATGACTTACCAGACGAGGTCGTTATTATTTAGCTATTGTTGTGTATTATGAATGTATTTATTTATTATTTTATTATTTATTCAAACCCATTTGAGGGAAATAATAGGCAAGATCTGATATCACCATTTTTCATTTCAAGTTTCATTCATTAGGTATAGCCCTGTGAGCCATACGTCTCTTGAGTCGGGTGCAACCACAACAAACAAAATATGAACAGAGAAACATCTTGAAGCGACGACGCGCAACAGAAACATCCTGGGATAAACCAGCAAATCTTCCAGAAAAAAAAAACACCGCATTACAACGCTGTTTGCAAAAATCGCAGTGTGATGCAAGTCAAACAATAACAACCATAAGACAATTTAGATTAAAGTTATCAGGTCAACTCGGCACTTCCATGATAACACGTGCTAAAGCATGTCTCCTTACCTCACTCCCAGTAGAATCAGTTTTTTTCTTTACAAATACATAAATAACATTTAACTGAAAAGTATGAAAACTCAAGATATAACGATAACATACTCATTACTACAATGACCGACGGGAATTAATGCAAGAACCTCCTTTCAGAACGTTTCAACGTGGAGTCGAAGAAAAATATGAGCAAAACAAACTTAAAGTACAACAAGTTGACTCAATGATTACACGAATCTGTGAGAAATACAACTGGAAAGCACATCAGAGTAAACCTTGAGCAGTCATTGAAGTTACTGAAAGCAGACTGTGGATAAAAAAAAACGATTAAATATAGAGGTGGCAGCAGGTTTGTGCACTATTATATATGTATTTATGGTAAACTTATTTTGCGCCGTACGTAGCCAACCGTGTTAATCAGAGGTGCGGGGGAAGGACAACAGACTATATATGGATCCATATTCTTGGTTCTTTCGGTAAAGTCACGTAGAAGGGAAAAAATATAAAACAATAAAATTCTCACGACGTTTCGACTGCAACACAAGCAATCATTATCAGGTGTGAAAACCACAGCAAGAAAATTTGAAAAAAGTGGTGGTTATTTTATTGTTTCCCTTCTACGTGACTTTAGCGAAAGAACCAAGAATATGAATCCCTGCAGTCACGAAAGCTTTATAAATAAAAAAAAAATATATTTGGATCATAACTATATATTGTTTTACATTACTGAATGCTGGAATATTGCATGCGCAATATCAATCAGTAAAATTATACTGATTTAAATGCTTTTGTGATGGCCTCATGGAATACAGGTTTCAATGGAATCAGGGAAAAGCATGGAAAATGTATGGGGCAAAACAATATTCTGCACCTAATTTTGGAATATTTGTGTTATTGTCCTGCATCTATATATATTAGTGATGTGCGCAAGTGTCCACGAACATGGTTATTATTAATAAAGAAAATGGAACAAAAACAGAAGACTGCGCAAAGAGGTACGGGAAGACACGTGTTTAGAGTAACAATGCGAGATATAAAGAGGAATTCATGAATGAGAGAACATGAAATTTAAAACATCTGTTTTCATTTGTAAGCCGCTGGAGCTATGCACTTTTAAATCTAGATTCAAAACTAATTTCTTGAGAACTGCTTTTTCTGCTTAAGATTGTTGTCCTTTCCCGCACCTCCGATTAGCACGGTTGGCTATGTACGGTGTGAAATAAGTTTTAGCACACATGCAAAAATCTAACGAAAAACAATACAAATGAGACAATAAAAATAGACAAATGGAAATCATCATTGCATAATATTTTAACTCCCAACAGTGAAAATGCATTAAATCGTTTTGGCGTGAACGATTACACGCATCCATAAGAGGTTTTTTTTTGTGTACGACTCGTTAATATAAATGCGTCGATAAATCCCACCACCACCGGGCACAGCCAATTAGTCAGCTTTGTGACGTAAACAAAACATGCCAATTAGTTACTAGGGCAACACACCGGTGTGTTGGAGAGTAAGCCCACAACATTTACAATTCGAGTACGACGTTTCACCGGTGATTGCAACCAGCATCATCAGGCGACAACCATAATTTATTACCAGCGAAATGTCACGGTACTCAAATTGTAAATGTTGTCTGTTTACTCTCCAACACACAGGTGTGCTGACCTAGTAGCTAATGGACACATTTTGTTTACGCGACAAACCTTACTAATAGGCTGTGTCGGGTGGTGGCGTGTTTTAACGACACATTTATATTTACACAATCCAACCAAACAGAAAGGCCTCTTTTATGGATAATATTGGTCGCGAAAGCCTACTACGTGTTAAACTGTTACACGCATGAATGACTGTGATGAATGTAATGGAAATGTGGGTGGTGGAGTGGTTTAGGGGCATCAGAGCACTGAGCATGTGTGAGATATTACTTTTGAACCCCAGGGAATTTGTACACCGGGGTAGGAATACAGTACTTCACATAATCTTAACCACAGGATAAGCGTCCGATAGTTTTGTAGGCGTTCGTGACAAATATTAAGATTTAAAACCATTGGGTTCAATCATGTAGGTATAATTATAACAGTAATATGATTTTTATTTAAAGCTTTCGTGACTGCAGTAATTCATATTCTTAGCTCTTTCGGTAAAGTCAACGTGACTTTACCGAAAGAGCTAAGAATATATATTGTAATATGATTCCCCCATGGAAACATACTCCCACCGCATGGGTCTTCATAATATATATGTATTATTTGGATGCCAGGATACAAATACCACGATCGTAATAGCATTAGGGTTATGGTGCTGACCTAATCCTTGGGGTCATACTTAGGCTGGGAGGTTAAGCTACCTAGGAGGGCCAGGGGGGGTCCAAATAATATACATATAGTATTCGGACCACACAGTCATAATTCTACACTGTCAAAATAAGCTCTTGTACCGGCACCACCAAGTTCCTGGGTATGAATCCTGGTTCTCAATTTCAGTGATGTGAGAGCCTCAGCTTGGTGACTCAAGACTACACAAAAACACTGGCAATATTTTAACTGTTAGTTTTTTTCGCATGCTTGGCAAAACAAGTGATTTGAATGGATCTCAGAAGTAGTTCTGTGATATCACCTTCCATCGGCCGTTCTCGGACACAGAAGGGCACTGCTGATTAATTTGCTGCATGACGTGAGATTTGTCGTGCATATTTAGAACCCACATTTTTGAGAGTGAAAAAACCCTCCACCAACCAACGGGGCTGGGCGATTACACTCGTGAGCGGCGAAAGGCGAGCGTTGCTGAAGCAACAACGCCGCGAGCGAGTCGGTGTGGCACGTTCATAACGACCTCACTTCAGCTAAATCAGTGGAGGCTGCGTGGCTCGTTGGCTAAACGTGCCCCTTTTTTAGGCGTGCGTGGAAGCGGTCGTCGTGATACACCGATAAAAACCAAATGGGGCTCCGCTGTTGTGCTGCTCGGGGCACCGCCACTGCATCACTGCCTCTCAGTGCATGCTGCCAGTTTTGTAATCGACCCATGGGGTTGTCATGCATTAATACCAAAACGGTTCCCACCATCGCAAATTTTTCCGTCAATTTGGCAATGTT